AGGGAGCCCGATGCGGGACTCGATCCCGGGACTCCAGGATCATGACCTGAGCCGAAGGCAGTCGCTTAACCAACTGAGCCACCCAGGCGCCCCATGTTTAGCCTGATCTTATCAGGTCTTGGGTGCTGTTTCCACCACGGGTTGGCACCTGTCCTGGAAAGCCCACCCAGACAGAATGGAAGGACTTGCATTTCACAGTAATAGATGAGATCCTCTCCCCGGCAGGACAGGAAGCCTGTGGCCCTATCTGGCGAAGACAAGATGAGCCAGCCTTAGGGCAAAGGTGACATGGTGGACAGCAGGATGGAGAGAAAAAAGGAAGCTGTGTTTCCAGTGACAGTGTCCTCAAACCACTGAGTCAACCAGGCCTGGTATCCCACCTCTGCACCGCAAGTCACACGAGCTATATGGTCCTTATTGTTTACGCTGGCTGGGATCGGGGTCTTTGGGATTTGCAACCGGGAGCCTCCTGAACTGAGGCACCGCATTGTTCATGAGCATCCCGGGACACCGTGACTGGTGCAGAGGAATGCCTCGGGTAAGGCACCATTCCCGATTCCTGAATGTCGCGGCATCCGGCCGAAGGCAAGTCCCTGCCCCGCCTCGGTGAGAGCCCGTGTGGACAAGAGCTCCCTGAAGTGCAGAGTGATTTATAGGCCTTCACTGGGCCCAGAGCAGAGTCTGATGGCCGCTATAGGTCTCTCCAGGTAGGAAAAGCACCGGCTGATTACCTGTCCCGTTCTCTCGTCCAACCTTATTTATTGCATTTCAAAAGCCTTGTTCCACCACATCTTTCCAGTGCGTCTATGTTTCCACTTTTAACAGCTGGGACTTCAGTGCCCAAGAAGCAGAAAAGAGGTTTGGGAGTGAGGGAGGGGGGCTGAGAAAGCACCCTGAGTGCGGCTCAAGCAAGAATGGTCAGGAGGGAGGCGCGGGGGGGAGCGGACCCCCCAGAGAAAGGCCTGCACTCCAGCCTAACCCCACATGGCAGGAGGAGCAGCATTTGGAAGTGGGGATCCTCCCTCCACTGTCCCTTGAATCCAGGGTGGAAATATCGGTGCTGAATGAATCAGGGAGAGTTTCGGGGGTGGGGGGCAGACGTTCAACAATGAGGGAAGGCCCCATGTGCTGGCATGACAGGTATGGGGACAGGAGGCCCCTCTGATGGGTCTCTGCATATCCTCCTGGCCTCGTCTGTCTCTGGGGCCTCAGGCTGCTTGTTCCTGCCCACCATGGACTCTAAGCAGCTTCACCAGGTCTCGTGTCACGCCCATCCCACTCCCCTCTTGCCACCTGTCCTGGGGCTTTTTGGTGGTGGATGAGGCGTGTGAGACACCCAGGGACACTCTGGGCCCGCCCAAGGGCAACCCCGATGTGCCAAGAATTAACACTCCACGGGGTCAGGGGCCCAGGGGGGCTTGATCATGGGGAGCTGGAAGCCAGACCTGAATTCTTCTCCTCTCCTCCTTCTTACACCTCCCAAAAGTATC